CGCACACACACACACACACACACACACACACACACAGAAAATACCCCTCAGCACCCTGGTATCAAAAGAAACATTCTCCTCTTGTTGTCCCTTTTTTTCAAGCTTTCATTTTTTTCTTGTTTTGATTTTCACCCTCCAGAACTCCATATCAGTTACTTCCAAGTTCAGCTTTTCCCCGCTGTCGTTATTCTCCTCTCTTCTCATCTCTGTTTCTTGTTTCCTCTTTTGAGCCACCCTTTTTTATTGGTGTTTTGTTTTAGTTTCGCCTGTCAGTGTGCAGACGTGTGCAGAATGACCCAGGGCGCAGGCAAAAATCCAAAAAGGTAACAAAAAGATTTATCAATTAAACAAAAAGGCTGGCAAGGCAGCTCAAACACATTCAAGATCTCAGGGGGAAAAAAGCAGCATGAGGAACACAGAGACACCTCAATGTAAGCATGACGAACGGACAAACACTTAAGACAGGACACAGGATATGCGTAAAGGCAAACTAATTTAGGACAAGAAACACCTGGAGGAGACACAGGAGGAAACAGGTGAGTGTGGGCGGGGCTGGAGGAATGACAGCAGGGGAGAGATACACAGGGGAACACAGAAACACTAGAAAACCAAAGAAAATAACACAGATCATGACAGTCAGTCCACTATAAGCTTTTTCTTTCCTATCTTTTCGTGTCTTTTTTTTAACTTTTATTTTATCACTTCCTCTTCGCCTTTTACTCCACTTAATGTTCTGCTTTTTCTCTCATTTCTGTGTCCTTATCTTCACCGGTCTGTTTTTCTTCTTTTTTCAAATCCAAATTTTTTTTCCTCTCCTCCCTTTGCTCTTATCAGCACTCTTCTCTGCCATTATTTTTTTCTGTTTTTACTCCTCCCAAAGATCCTAGGCCAATTTAAACTTTCAACACTAATGGGTACTCTATGACCCTGTCATATTTAAACACACATGTTTGTTCTTCTATCCTCATGGGGACTTTGCATTGATTTTCATTAATTTACTGGTCATTTCTACAGTGTTACTCTGACCCCTGACCCTAAACCTAACCACCCCAGTACATATCTGACCCTAAACCTACCCTGAACCCAATTCACACCATTAGTCCTAAACGAAACCCATGACCCCCACAAACGTATTACCCCCGACTGAGACCGGGCTTTTGTCCCCAAAGAACTGTGGGTCCTCAAAAGGCTGTGTGTACAAAATTTGTCCCCACAACATGCACACACACACACACACACACACACACACACACACACACACACACACACACACACACAC